AAATCCAACGAAAAAAAAAAAAACCAAGATCAAAGAAGCAACAAAGGATGAACTACAAAGCTAGCAGAGCTTACCTAAACAGTGAATCAATGAAAGCCTTAAGATTTGCACCGAGTAAGAAGTAACCCCAATCGTTAAATCTGCACAAAATCAAAATTAAAATCCGTGGAAAAAGTAGAGGAGAGAGGAGAAAGGAAAGAAGAGGAGAGATTGAGGCAAACTAGAGAGGTAGATGAAATTGGAGAAGAAGACGAGAGCTCCAGACCAGAGCGTGAAAACGAAGACGTGCGTGTTTTGTTTTCGCGAGAGATGGGCTCGTTATTTTGGGCCGCCTTATTTAAGCACTGCCTTTTAAATGGCCTAAGATAAGCCCGAGTTAGTGAGCTTCTTAAATAATAAGCCCATGTTTGGTTCATGATTCTTAGTGAGTTCTCAGTCGCGCATAGAACATAAAACAACCGAAAAGAAGCCAAGCGGGAGAGAGTACCAAAAAGAAGAGAAGCGAAGCGAGAGAGACGAAAATGGCGAGGAATTTAGGGGTTTTGATATGGCAGTTGCTTGGCAATCGCAACAACCCGTGTGCAGCAGGTCTTCATCATCTTCACCAAAAACCCTTCCAAAACCTAACTTCAGTACCAAATACCACACCATCTTCACCGCACACAATCGATATCCGGTCCGCTTCCAAACCCTTGTCCAATTATTCCATTCACACCCCAAACCTTCAATTTCTGCAACAGAGACGACGCCTCTCCTCATCCTCACTCTCAGAGTCAGATTCAGATTCAGATTCAAAACATTTACTTTCAGGTCCCTCAAACCTATTCGTCATACAGGGCATGGCTGTGCATACCAAGGCAGTTGACAATGTTAAACGTATGCCAATTTCTCCACCAACCTCAACCCTTCTTAATTTTACAAATATTCAAAATAGGAAATTAAGTTTGTTGTGGATTTTTTATTTTTTTTATTCCTTGGCATAGATGCTAGGTTGTCTGCGGTTTTCTACTGCACTGCACCTTTCTACTACACAGCACCCGGGTGCCGGGCTAGTAAGTTCTAACTTCTAATCAATGAATTTTCTTTCATCAATCAAGTGATTTGCAATAAATTGCTCTCTTCTTGTGCAGCCCGTAAGTGGATAACTCCAATCTTTGATGAGTTGTTGAGCAATTCCAACATATAAAAATGTATAAGTTTTACATGGATAAGGTAACTTTCTGAAATTTAATAAATTACTGTAATTTTTTAAATTTTGAAGTGGTTTAGGAGGGAGTCTGACATACGCTTGCAGGTTCGCATTTATGGTCAGCCAGATTCGGATCCTTATAGTAGTTTTCTAGTGGGTCAGAATCGTGAGTGGCCAGATTGGATCGTATCCCTCTACTTATGGCCATACTCATTTTGGTTCAACAGCTGGGTCATATTACAGAAGTAATACATCAGTCATGCAGCAGTATGCGCCTCGGTTGGATGAATTGAACCACTTGAGGATGGGGTCCTGAGGACCTGAGCCTAGTTTAGGATATGACCTGCACGTGTTCAGTAGCAAGGTCCCTTTTGATCCCAGGGCACCTCGACCCAGTCAGCATGGTGAAGTAATACATCAGCCATGCAGCGTTATGCGCCTCGGTTGGATGAATTGAACCACTTGAGGATGGGGTCCTGAGGACCTGAGCCTAGTTTAGGATATGACCTGCACGTGTTCAGTAGCAAGGTCCCTTTTGATCCCAGGGCACCCCGACCCGGTCAGCATAGTGGCCTCATGGGGTTTGCTCCTGGTCCTCACCAAAGCTATTCAAGCCAAAATTCAGCTGGTTGGCTGAACGAGTAAGTATGTTCCATGTGATCTGTAGGTTTTGGCTTCTGTACATAGATTAGCTTATGCTTGTGAAGATGTATTGTAACCTTTTACTTCATTTCACTGTACTATTTTAGTTGCATCTTGAAGTTAAACTTTGTTTAACTTTCTATTGCTTTGCCCTCCCATATTTGCCATCCCTTTTTAATTTGAGATCTTTATATTTGGTCTTCTGTGTTCATGCTGTGTTACTGTTATTTGAAAATGCCTAGATGATCACAATTCCTAAGGTTGTGTTTGGATGAGGCATTTTGAAGTGAAGTAAAAGGTTAGGGATTGTGATCCAAACACAACCTTAGGGATTGTGATCATCTAGGCGTTTTCAAATAACAGTAACACGACATGACCACAGAAGCCCAAATATAAAGATCTCAAATTAAAAAGGAATGGCAAATATGGGAGGGCAAAGCAATAGAAAGTTCAAAAAAGTTTCACTTCAAGATGCAACTAAAATAGCACAGTGAAATGAAGTAAAATGTTACAATACATCTTCATAAGCATAAGCTAATCTATGCACAGAAGCCAAAACCTATAGATCACATGGAACATACTTACTCGTTCAGCGAACCAGCTGAATTTTGGCTTGAATAGCTTTGGTGAGGACCAGGAGCAAACCCCATGGGGCCACCATGCTGACCGGGTTGGGGTGCCCTGGGATTAAAAGGGACGTTGCTACTGAACACGTGCGGGTCATATCCTAAACTAGGCTCAGGTCCTAAGGCACCCATCCTCAAGTGGTTCAATTCATCCAACCGAGGCGCATACCGCTGCATGGCTGATGTATTACTTCACCATGCTGACCGGGTCGGGGTGCCCTGGGATCAAAAGGGACGTTGCTACTGAACACGTGCGGGTCATATCCTAAACTAGGCTCAGGTCCTAAGGCACCCATCCTCAAGTGGTTCAATTCATCCAACCGAGGCGCATACTGCTGCATGACTGATGTATTACTTCTGTAATATGACCCAGCTGTTGAACCAAAATGAGTATGGCCATAAGTAGAGGGATACGATCCAATCTGGCCACTCACAGGATTCTGACCCACTAAAAAACTACTGTAAGGATCCGAATCTGGCTGACCATAAAGGCGAACCTGCGAGCGTATGTCAGACTCCCTCCTAAATGGGTATTCTACCTGATTCAAATATGTCCTAGATGGTTGGTTATGTGAAATAGTTCATTGTCTTTGAAACAAATATTTTCTTTGGTTGATCACATATAGAGGAAGTTGCTTTAATCAAACTGATAGTTTGAATACACTACAGACAAGAAGTACCCGCTTACGACATTACAAATATAGTCCCACAAATCCTGACAATTTTAGACCTTTTACATTCCAAATATTGTGTAGTCTGTACTACACTTCACCTTGCATCTTGACTGGATGCATTAAAATATTGTTGGTGAATAGATTTTGACAGTCCATGATACTGAGAAGAAATTAAATTTTCTTCTTCGAGTTTCCCTTAACAGTTGAAATGACATAAAAATGTATAGTGAAAAAAAAGGGGCTACGTTGTAAGCATAAAACCAGAGTTAGTGAAAGAAAAAAAAAAGTTGAATTTCTGTTTGTGTGTGAGGCACAGGTTGTCTTGGAGTGACTC